ATATATGAGTTTGTATGTAATGTATGAATATAATATACAAGTTTCACTTTTTAAATGGAATTACTGAAATAAATCTACTTTTTCATGATATTCTAATTTTGTGACCAGCACCTGTATTTTAAAATAACAAATCTGAAATATGGTTTTTGAAATATACTTCTTTTACATTTTGAATATAACCCTAAAAATTATATTCTATTAATAGTATATTAAAATATATTTCTGTAAAATGCAGTCTATTTAAAATATACTTTAGTATATTTTTTTCACCTGGGTAGTCTCCTTTGCATCTGAAAATCGATTTCCTCAAACACGTTTTTTAATCTGAAAATGACTGGACCGAGAAATTCTATTACGAGCTCAGCAGACATGTGGTTTCACCAGGTATTTGTTAGCTAGTTGTTGCTGCCGATAGCCTGCAGGAGTCACAGGGGAGGCGTGCTTTGTGATGTGGTAGCTCAGCTTGGAGACACAGGCCAAAGGAGGAGCTACACTTAAAAGGCAGTCCTAGGTCCAACCAGCCATTTTTGTTCTCCTCAAAAGCTACCACAGGACAGTATAAGATTTCACAAACATGCATGAATGAGTCAAATCAATACTCTGGGTTTGTTTTTGATGAGGGGATAATATTTTAACATGATATGAAGCTCAAAAAAGTAGATTTTACATTATATTACCCCTTTAAGTACACATAATTTTTGTGAAGTCCAACATCATTCTTTTTTTTTAAATTAAGATGAAAAATGAACTACAACCATTAATTCCTTTTGGGATTTCCATTGATCTTTCAAGACTGATCACTTCAGTTCCATCCATCCATCCATCCATCCATCCATCCATCCATCCATCCATCCATCCATCCATCCATCCATTAATTCACTATAATATTGTTGCTTTGGCCTGAAGTAGCATGAAAAATAGCCCTGACAATAAATAAGATCCTGAAAAATATTGTTACTATAAAAAGGTCAAGTAATAAAGCCATGTTGCCAATTTCATCTTACTCGTCATTGGTTATCAGTGGTTTTAGAATAAGTGCATTTCTAAATTCTCATTGGACAGCAGTATGTAGGGGGGGTATAAAAGTTTACATACAGATGTATGTGGCTCAAAGCAACCACCAGCACTGATGACCTGTGGGTGTTTATCAGAAATTTCACAAAATTGTTCCTCAACCTTCATCTGAAAAATTGTGTTGAATGTGATTTTGTCTGTATTTTTGTCTTTTAAAATGAAATGCATCAATTGTTTTAGGTCATCATGAAAACAGAACCTAATGTAAACATGACTGATCCTTTTACTGCCCTCCACCCATGTTATGAGATAAATAATTTCAGATACAAGTTTACCACACCCCCTTCTGCTGTATGTGTGATGCTATATTGTTTTCTTACACTTTTGTCTGTCGTCACAGTGTGCGGAAACCTCCTTGTAATAATTTCTGTGTTTTACTTCAAACAACTCCAGACTCCTACTAACTACCTCGTTTTGTCTCTAGCTGTTGCTGACCTGCTTGTAGGGATTCTGGTGTTTCCTTTGACTATGGCATTTTGTCCCAGCATTTGTATGTATCATAACAATTTATTTTGTAATATACGAAACAGCGTTGACGTATATCTTTGCACATGTTCTGTTATGCACCTATGTTGTATTTCTTTTGACAGATATTATGCAGTGTGTCAGCCATTAACATATAAATCTAAAATCAGTCATCATCTTATTTTCATTATGATCACTTTAAGCTGGATTGTTTCTTTACTTCTAGGCATTGGGGTAGTAATACCAAAATCAGAAGAAAAATGTCAAAAAACATGTATTATTGATGTATTTATGACAAACACAGTTGGAACTATATTGTCATTTTACCTTCCACTTTTCATAATGTTATGTATTTATCTGAAAATTTTCTTTGTTGCACAGAGACAGGCACGAAGCATACAAACTAGGATGAACCGTGGAGCAACTGTCAGTAAGATGGAGAGAAAAGCCACCAAAACTCTGGCTATTGTTTTGGGAGTGTTTATTTTTTGTTGTACTCCTTGTTTTCTTTGTATCACTTTTATACCTTTTATCAACAATTCAGTACCAGTTCCAGTAATTGAAACACTTGTTTGGCTTGCCCTGACAAACTCAACACTAAATCCCTTTATTTATGCTTTCTTTTACAGCTGGTTCAAATCAGCCTTTAAAATTATTATGTCTGGAAAAATATTGCATCGTGATTTTTCTAACACAAAGTTACAATAATTAAATTTTTGAGACACAAAAATGCAGTTTTAAATTGTCATACAGGATTAAAAACAAAGGTAAAACTGACAGTATCTCTATAAAATTAGCATTATTTAAATAGTTTTGTTTGATAGGGACGTGTTTACCTGAAGTTTATCAACAATTGTGCTGAATGGGGTAAAAAATGTTTCCAGAAAAGATGAGTACACCGTTATATCAAGTGATGCTGCTTTTTTTTGTGTGTGTGTGTGTGTGTGTGTGTGNTGTGTGTGTGTGTGTGTGTGTGTGTGAGTGTGTGTGTGTGTGTGTGTTGGATTCTGATTTGATAAATCAGATACTGTCAAATAAGAGAGATAAAAATTGTGTTCCATTTCTTGTATGCAGCATGAAAGAACCAAACACAGATTGCAAAAAGAAAAGGTCTTCGAGCCACTACAGGAACTTTAAAAAAAATTATTAAGAATTTTAAAAAGCCTCATGTAATTGACTGATTCTATGGCATAGTTCTGGCTACAAGATTGTAAGCTAAGCTAACTAACTGTATTTGTTTATTTTTATTTGAGATATTTGGTTCAAATACAAATCTATTTACAGATAAAATTGTGGAGCTTTTTTAAATGAGATGTAATAAACAGTTTTTTGTTGGGATTTCAATTCTGATTTGGGAAATAAAACTGTCTAGTTATAAATTGAATGTATAGTTTGAGTATCCCTAAATATCTAAACCAACAAGAATTAAAACGCATAGCGCTGCAGTGACTGATACTATTTTTACTCATGTAAGACATGGAGAAGTGATGAGTGTGATTTTGATGACTGATATGTGTGATTATTTGCCAGATTCTAGATTGTCATTTATTATTTTATTAATAAATGTCAATGTCAGTGTATAGTAGCTACAATTAAGAGAAAATGATAAATATGTAAAGAAAATAGCTTTGGATGAACTGAAAGACGGTTTAAAAAAACTAAACTGGAAGGATTTGTATGTCAATGTAAATAGAGCGTATAATATCTTTATGAATATTTTGGGTGTCCTGTATGAAAAAGAAATGTATGCAAAAAAATAATTTAAAAAAACTGTGCTAAAGGCCCTGTCACACTATAACATTTTAGAGAACTTGTGCCAAGTCAGAAAAGTTTGTCTATACACTAAAGTGTCACAATCTGGAAGCGATCAAAACCCAAGTGCAAGCAGGAAACAAGAGGTACGAATAAAAGAAACATAATTTATTCAAATAAGGAATACAAAAGTGCTGATGAGGCAGCCAAAAACTACCTATAAGAAGTGTATATATTTTGTATTTCCTTTTCCTTATACTTGCATTTTCATCAAGAAATGTTTTTCTTTTGTTAGACATGCATTTTCATCAAGAAATGTATATATTTTCTATTACCTTTTCCTTACACAAGCGTTTTCATCAGGAAATATATATATATATATATATATATATATTGTTTTGCCTTTTCTTTATACAGGCATTTGTTCTCTTTACATTTCCTTGTTTCTTCCTTTTGCTTTACTTTAACGAATGCATCCTGTGTGCAAATGACGAGAGCTGTCTTGTGGTCCAGCTCCTCTACTATTGCTCAATAAACAGGAAAGAGTGGGAACCATGTGCAGATTGAATGTGCATGTCTGTGTCGGCTTCAGTTTAACACACCTCCACCAGTCATGCAATAATATGTATTCGGGGTGATTAACACTGAAAAATCTGAGTTTTCTCTGGATTTGGAGTGGCTGGAGAMCAAGGAAACGTGACGTGGCTGCAGTCTGGGAGATGGAGGATTTTGCATCAGAAAAAAGGTGCCAAACTGTACTGGTCGAGCAAAGATGGTAGGCTAATTGTGCTAACAGCTGTTTAGCTGCCGTGAGACTGTGCCTGTCTGTCTTGGTTACTGTAGTTCTAGAATAAAACTATTAACACAGAAAGATGTAAATTTGGATGACCACAACCACAGCCAACATAAGTCAATGGTTACATTTGAAATCTACCTTTCCTTTCTCCTAAAATGAAGGTTCTCTGTAAGATTATTTTCGGATTCTCAAACGTGAAAATCTACAATCCACACTCTCCAGTTAAAGCAGCAAATACCTGTCTTTTGCACAGAGCAAAATAACTTAAAATATACAGATGTTTTATTTGTTGGACTAATTTCTTAAAAGACTATTTTATTCAAAAATATTATATTGTTTAGATGGTTTCAGCTCATGTAATAATTTATTCTTCATTTTTGATCATTTAATACAGGGGTTCTTAAACTTTTTGACCTCTGGGCCCAATTTATTGAACATAAAGTGGCAGGAGGCCCAGTCAGACATTACCAATGTATGGATCAAAATGAGAATTCTTCTAAATCTTGGTTAAATTTTTATTGTATTTACATTATAACAAAATTAAATACACTTACATTTTAAAAGTAAAACTCCTGTCAAATAATCACAAAACATGATTATGACAAACAATTTTTTTATATAGTAACCTGCCCATAACAATTATTTGAACAAATACAATAGTTAGTCAACAGACCACTCAGGTTTATCAACACAAATTTATAAAAATTCCCTTCTCACCCTCCGCGGGTGGTCTCTTTCATCCTCTGAGCTCGGGTCCTCTACCAGAGGMCTGGGAGCTTGAGGGTTCTGCGCAGTATCTTGGCTGTGCCTAGAACTGCACATTTCTGGACTGAGATGTCTGATGTTGTTCCTAGGATCTGTTTTAGCCACTGCTCCAGTTTGGGGGTGACTGCCCCGAGGGCCCTGATGACCACAGGCCCCACTGTGGTCTTCACCTTCCAGGTCTTTTCCAGTTCCTCTCTGAGGCCCTGGCATTTCTCCAGTTTCTCATGCTCCTTTTTCCTGATGTTGTGGTCACTTGGTATTGCGACATCCACCACAACTCTGTTCTTTATCCACCACCACAATGTCCGGTTGGTTCGCCATTACCATCTTGTCTGTCTGGATCTGGAAGTCCCACAGGATCTTAGCTCGGTCATTCTCCACCACCTTTGGGGGGTGTTCCCCACTTCGGTCTCGGGGCCTCCAGTCCATATTCT